CCCAAAAATGAACATTCTGTCATTAATAACTCACCCTCATGTCATTCCAAACCCTTAAGACCTTCGTTCATCTTCGGTATAGATATTTTTGATGAAATCTGAGAGCTTTCTGGCACTGAAGACTGACACAGAAGAGAAGAAATGGTTGAATAAAGTTGTTGTTTTTGTTTTCTTTGCACACAAAAACTATTCTTTTAGCTTCATAACATTACAGTTGAACCACTGATGTCACATGGACTATTTTAACGATGTCCATACTGCCTTTCTGGGCCTTGAAAATGTCAGTTGTGTTGCTGTCTATGCAAGATCAGAAAGCTCTCGTATTTCATCAAAAATATCTTCATTTGTGTTCCGAAGATGAACGAAGGTCTTGCGGATTTGGAACGACACGAGATTGAGTAATTAATGACAGAATTCTTATTTTTGGGTCAACTGTCCCTTTAAAGAAATATGAGCTGTCAAGTTTTAAAACACTTTTGTCTGCCACTATAACATAATGCCATTGTTTAATCTTCATTTGGGGCTTTTCTCAGCTAATGATATCAATATATGTGATTTTTGACAAATTATTATTTATCAAATGAACTGCAATATCAATATATTGACTGCATATCATTTAATAAATGTGATATTTTTTAATTAATGTTATTTAAATGAAATACAATTTGTTCTGATTTATTTGATTATTTATGTGATATGCGACTTATTGTGTTTAAGTTAATTAGCTTGCATGTAATATTATTAATTCAATTACAGTAATATTTAGATTCATGTTTTCATTTTTTATATTTTAAACTATTGATGTGATTAATTGAAATTAATTAAATTGACATGTAAATATTTTAAATGCATGAATACATTTTTTATTTTAATTTAATTTAAAATTATTGATATGTGATTAGTTGATTGATATTTAATTCTCATTTAAAACATTTCATGAATACATTAATTTACTCATGTAATTAAAATCAATTATTGATATATGTGATTAATTGCATGATGAAAATATTGATATGTGATTAATTGCATGATGTGTGTTTAATTACAATTAATTTGATTAAGCATATCATATTAAGTATATCATGTAATTGATTGGATTACATGAATATTTTTAATGGATTGACCCCAATAATAGACTAGTTATATAAAATCTTTTAGATTTTTATCTTTTTGCTTTTTAAATCCAATGCTTGACACTCTCTGGGCTCTGAAGCACTAAGCAGTTTCTGAGTTGAGTGCACCGTGATCTGGAGGATTTGGGAACCAAGATCATAATTCGCCTCTTTGGGCACCTTTACGCATCACGGCAGATTATTTCCTGTCATGTTCATTGACAGCTTCCTGCTGCTCGTTTTTGGTGCTTCCTTTTGATCTTACAAAATCCCCAAGCTGCTGAAGTTATTGAACCAGGCCGTCTTCATCCAAAGCCGAAACGCCAAAAGCATTTTCAGTTTTGAGCTGAATATGCCGTCCATCGCTAAAAACAAGTGATTTTGGCTTCGACGGACTCTCATCTTTTGCCTTCATATTCCATATAATAGAAGTTGCGTCGTCTTTTGTGACTTTCTTGCTGGTATAGTCGGTTTCCTGGTGAGTTGACTGACAAGTACAAATGAGTGTTTGTATATCCCACAGCCTTCTGAAGTTTTGCTGATGTCACTTGCGAGCAGATAAGCACTGTGAGAGCGCAGGAAATGTTCTAACCTCCCTTTGTTCAATTTCACACACTTTATGAAATGTCAGGTCTCGGTTCTCATCCGAGCGAGACACAAGCAAAAACAACACAAGCTGCCATGACGCTTGAGCGTTACCTGTTCTGTTGATTCTAGACATCACAACAAAACACGAGCTTTGATCTCACGCCTTCACCAGTGGCCGGTTGAGACACTTAGGGATTCTTTTTGAGCCTTTTCTGGCAGTGTTACCCAGGTTCAGACACATTTCCCAGACAATACTAGAGTCATTTACTTCTCAATGTCCACTAATAGAGAGTTCTTGATCTCCTGACCTCTCTTGGCATCCCCAAAATCAATATGGCACTCAATGGAGTCAAAGCCTTAAAGGCCATGTCTTCTGTTAATTCTTTTTTTCTGTTTTACATAGGGATGTGCAAAAAATATAATATGATTTTCATGCGCATCTCGTCAGTAAAGCCGCTCCTGTGATTGATTAGTAGTAAATCTCCAGCACGTGCGTTCGGATGGAGCCGCATTTACTACACGGAGCCGTAGTTCACTGACAAGCTACACAAAATCGCGTTCAAAATCGGCAATGAACCGCCTGCGATTTTGAACGCGATTTTGTGTAGCTTGTCAGTGAACTACGGCTCCGTGTAGTAAATGCGGCTCCATCCGAAAGCACGTGCTGGAGATTTAATACTAATCACAGGAGCGGCTTTACTGATGAGATGCGTATGAAAATCTCATTCGATTTTTTTTTGCACAGCCCTAGTTTTACATTTAAGGTTCTCTCACCACAGGAAGGGATTTCATCGGACTGTTTGATTTGTTGGAGCTGCTGTGTAAGCAGAACATTAAACATCTCAGCCTGACCTTAACCAAAAAAATGTACCCTTCCATGTCTTTCTTTACAGTATAGGTCAGAATGCTTGGATCAAATGACAGACACACTGGGAGACTCTAAATACCATGTGAACATGTTGTAATCTAAGCTCAAGTGTGTATGAGACCATATTTTAACTAGAGATACACAATATATCAGAATCGTTTTGGTTATCAGTCGATACTAGGTGTCTCTTTATTGGATATTTAATTGTGCATGCTTAATTCCTTTTTTTAAACATTGATTACCTTATATATTATTATATAATATACAAGGTGTATGTAACATTTGTGGCCAGTCAATTTTTTTAATAGAAATCAATATGTTTATTCAGCAAGGAGGCATTAAATTTGTCAAAAATGACAGAAAAGACGTACACTATTACATTATTTGTCATCTTTAAAGAGACATTTCAAATAAATGCTGTTTTTTTTAACTTTCTCGAGAATCCTGAAAAAAAAGTTTCCTATGTTGCATGAAAATATTAAGCAGCACAACTGTTTTCAAATTTGATAATAATGGGAAATGTCTCTTGAGCACCAAATCAGCATATTAGAAAGATTTTTGAAGCAACATGTGATCACCACGGTGGTAATTGCTGCCATGATGAGCAAAATATATCTTATCTTTAAAATAAATAAATAAAATAAATAAAAATCGAACCAACCCCAAACTTGTGAACTGTGGCGTATATTCATTAATTCAAAATTAAAACAACTGGTTTTGTTTTTTAGTATTTTATTTTCAGTTAATTTGGAGAAAATAGAATAGAATTTTAACATCAGCCATTTATTAGTTATATTATGGCTCATATAATATTCTATTGGCTCAGATTTTAACTTTTGACATAAACTATAACTCCATCTGCAAGATTTCTTGCTGGGGTCTGGGGTCATCAAAAAGTAAATTTACAGTGAACCAGATACTGTGCACAAAATAGAAACCGTAAGAAATGTTGGGTGCCACAGAGATCTTTCATCTGTTGCACTCGACTGCACTGAGAGCTGTCTCTTTCTCGCAGTGTCATTCATGCATCTCTGCTTTCATAACCTTCCATGTTGAAGCTTTGGAAAATGAGGAAAAAGAGACATGGAGGTGTAGATACTGGTGGGTTTTTGGGGTTAAAAGAGAGGTGTCTCTTCAGTCACCTGACAGGCTGATCTCTGCAGCGCATTAGAGTGTGACCACATGACAGTTTGAGGGCATGCTGAATCCTGCTCTTTCTTCTGCCTATGATACACAGCAGCTCCAAACCACAATCTCATCCCTTAAGAGGGTTCCAAACAAGCCAATACCCTCCAAGGAAAAGGCCTTTTGTTTAGATTTACATGCTCCCCACTCAGTGTAAATTTTGTAAACTGTAGTGAAAACCAGTGTCAACTGTGGACGTCCGCCAGAAAGGAGAAGCTCTATTGTGGTGCGCCCCAAGCTAAACTGTAATTTGCTTTTATCCAGCAAGGACACTAATGTAAACTAATCTAAATGTATCAAAAGAGAAAGTAACGACATTATAATGTTACAAAATATCTCCATTTTAAATACATGCCATTCTTTTGAACTTTGTTCATCAGGAAAAAACGGTTGCCACAAAGATACTAAGCAGCACAATCATTTTCAACGTTGCTAATATTAAGAAATGTTTCTTCACTAAATCAGTATATTAGCATCATATGACACTGAAGACTGGAGTAAACCAACTCCGTCTGGCAAGATAAATGCAAAATAAAACTAAAGTAAATGCCTAAAAAATTTCCATAAATTGCATTTAATGCATGTAATATGTAAATCATATTTTATATATGTTCATTTTTATTTTATTTTATTTTTACCAGCAAAATGGATTTATAAATAGTAGATATAGCATATTTAAAAACAAACCCTCAAGAGGAGGCATGTGTAAGAATGTGTGAATAATGGGCTTTACAGTTTTGCTGAGCTTTTTGCGGGTCAGGTTGCGCACTAATGCTCCACTCTCTGTATTCACACATTCTTTCCATCACTTCTCTATAAGCATCTTCATAATTTCCTTTTTATATGGGGAGGGTGGGAACCAAGCAAAAGTGGGTCAACAAGGTACATCTGACTTTGAGATATGTACCCTACTTCCTCCTTCCGCAAACCAACAACAAATCACCTCATCTTTAGGTCTACTGAGAGCTTGTCCGAAATAAATTGCACTTCCATATCTGGTTTTGACTTAACCTTAGCAAGTAATATGTCTGAGTAAATGAGATCACTAGGTCAGAGATGATTACTGTTTGTACAGTTTACATAGTGCTTGTCTCAGCACTAAAGGTTAAAATATACACTGATTCGTACTATTCGTATAAATGTACCTTAGTCAAGCTAGCATGGCGGTTTGAGATATGAATGCTTTAGTTGTTTAAAGCAAGGAATGTTGAGGTCCCACTTTATTATTATGAATGAAAGTTACTCACGCAGAGAGTGCCACTCATCCTGACGAATGGTCTTGGTGATGTTGTAAGAGAGATTCTTGGGTATTGTGGCCGAGGAGTAGTGGTACTTGATATAAGAGCATCTTGCAATAGACCCTGCAAGTAGAGAAGGAAAAAACAGTTTACGTACTAGTAAAACCAGAAACATGTTTATAATGAAATGATTCACCCAAAAGTGAAAATTTGCAAGCAGTTTTCATACCCTCAGATCACCCAAGAGATTCGTTTGTTTAGATTTAGAGAAATTTAGCATTATATCACTTGCTAACCAATGGATCCTCTGCGGTGAACGGGTGCCGTCAGAATGAAAGACAAACAGCTGATAAATGCACAGTAATCCACAAATAATCAACATGACTCCAATCCATCAGTTAATCTCTCGTGACGTGAAAAGCTCGGCATTTGAAAGAAACAAATCTATAATTTAAACAATTGCTTCTGGCCAAAATACAAGAATAATGCTTCCTTCAGTGAAAAAGTCCATCCCCTGTTGTCCTCTCACATCAAAAATCCTGATATATATTTGTTATTTGAATGGCCTGAGGGGTGAGTCAATTTTCAGTAAATTTTCATTTTTGGGTGAACTATTCTTTTAAGTGAATCGTGTCTATAATGCTAACAAATGTTATGATCAATCAGTATATTGCATTGACAAGTACAACAGTCTTGATTTAAATTGAGGTTTACATTGTCTTCATTTTCTAGCTATATATTCCACTACACGCTCCTGCTAGAGATTTTCACTTCACTGTATTTAGCACGATCAGAATACAAATCTTTACACCTTGGATTTCCTTCTTTCCTTCTCTTTGAGAAAGTACAGATCTCATTTTTAGCATCCCGGGAGGCTTTTTCAACATTTACAAAGTAGTGTGATTGTGTTTCTCTTTGTTTCTAATCAAACGGTGGTTTCCTGTAGCTTGTGTCACATTTGAAATCCTTTTTCTGCAGTGTACTTTGAGGCTTTCGGGTTGACTTGTACAGCGTATCTCTAAAGCTTTGGGGAATGAGATATGTCACATAGTGTCTGAAATGATTTAATTTGGGAGCACTGTGAAGTGCGTTTGTGAATGATATGGCCTTTAGAACGAGGCCTGCACACATCCTCCCCTTTAGACAGGAATGATGTGCTCATGTGTCTTCAGAGCTCACGCACATGCACTGATCAGCAGTGAAAAAGGGCTGACAAAGATAATGATACATATTTCTGTGTCCTAACGGTACATGCCAGCAATCATTCCAGCTTGCACTATTGTCCAGGATATCATTTCCTGTTGATTATGAAATTCTGCAGATAGAAAATGGCAGCCTATATCATCCAGAAAAGAGAATTATAGTCCCAATGCTCGACTCTGTCTTCCATTATCTCTTTTTCCCAGGAACCGCTAGACCAGCTAAAATCTATGTTGTGTTACCAGGGGAAGGTCTAGTGTCATATTGATTACCAAATCTGTAACCAGATTTATTTGACAAAAATAACAAAAACGTGTGTGTAAATATGGTAACACTTTAGCTTAGGGTCCAATTCTCATTAACTAGTTGTTTATTAGCATGCATATTACTAGGACTTTTTAGTACTTACAAAGCACATATTAATGCCTTATTCTGCATGACCATATTTTAGATCCATTAATCCTACCCCATTACTAAACCTAACTTAACATCTATACATATATATAATTTTGTAAATGTAAAATATATGTTTATATTACACTTACACTTTTATAATATGCATACTATATACATTGATAGTGTAGTGTAAAATTAGATTTGATTATACTTTTTATGTTATTTATACCACATACTACAATATTACATTCTACTAATTAGGGCCCAAGCGACTAGGGGAGAAGGGCCCTATTGTTTTCCTAAGGATTTTTTTTGACTATCCGGGGCTTTTTGGGACCCTTAACATGCTTTTGTGAAAAACGCATGCTGTGGTATTTGCGATACTCCTCCTAGGGTTTTCATCCAATTGCCACCAAACTCGGTCAACATGATCACAAGATATAGGGAATGCTAAATTGCAAAGAGTTTTTTGATATCTTGGATGGTTTGGCCGTGGCGAGGTGATGCATTTATGATGAAAAATAGGAAAGAGGAAGTGCCTATTAACTTTTGCATACATTGTCTTCTTTTAGATCAAACTTCAGCATTTCATCTGCTGTGCACGGTTTTCCTAATGCCACTAGGGTGTTGATTGTGCTGATGGCTTGGGCCCGTCATCGCTGCTTGCAGCTCTACTCACATGTACATTAATTTGAAAAAAATTATGGCAACATTTTCTGTGTAGAGTCACAATATTTAAACTTTTTGGAACTTTTACAATATCAACTACTCAATTGCTTTCAACTGCTTGTAGTCTCTGCATGTTAAGCTGGTACAGAAGATTGTTGTTTCAACATAAAAAAAAATTACAAATTTTATCATCAAACATGGCTCATGCTGAGTTTAACGAGCAACTCTGCAAACATCTCCCGTTACACTGGTTTGTAAGACAGATTGTTCTTGGCCCTGTGTATCCCTGCGGAGCAGAAGCTGATCAGGTCAGCGACCGAGTGTAAACCAAAACCATCTTTCTTCCAGGCTGACCAGACAGTAGTGTTCCTGGGTATAGATTTTTTGATGGCCAGCAATGCCTGGGAGAGTTGAATAGATTTTAAATACGCCAAAGAAAGCTAAAAGCATTACAGGTTTTTAAGTGTCACTGGGACCATGGCACTTACTTTAGCTTGAATGTGTGACTCAAATACAGAGCTGTTCGATTCAGTTAAGGCCGTTGACTTTCATATAGTTTTAACATTGCAATGCTTGTGTCAAGTTGTTTTTATATGGCTTAACTAGCATAAAAATATATATTTACAGAACAATCTGCATTAATGTTGCCAAGCTACACTCCCAGGATTCTCTGCAGTGCTGATACGAGGCAGTCAATGAAAGGTCACTTGGTTTCCCTTGATGCCTTGCGCTGTTAGCACAGGGACTGTTTTTGATCATTTTTGAGTGAGTTATTTTATTGTTTTTTAGTTTTTTGACAGCCTGCCTGATTTGATTTTTTCCTCTTGCTTATTAAAGAGTACTTGCTGTCTCTTTTCCTCTTTGTAATATTGGGGCTGTCAATCAATTATTTATATAAATAATTAAAGTGACTGCATAATACGCAGAATAATTTGTCTATTTAATATAAAATAATCATTCAAATAATTTTACAAAAAGTGACTTCAGATGTGCGTGTATATATATATATATATATATATATATATATATATATATATATATATAAAAAACTTT